ATGTTGCTAAAGTCTACCTTAGAAGGTATGCAAAATGTTTAGATGATTACTATTACTGTGCTGTTTTCTTTTGTACTGCAGAGCTGATGCAAACAGAAGTGCATCACATCCATACCCTGTTCATTATGTCTGAAATATTCAGGAAAGGGATGAAGGAAGAACTGCAGCTGGACCACAGCACGGTGGACAGAATATTCCCCTGCTTAGATGAGCTACTAGAGATGCACAGGCAATTCTTCTGCAGAATGAAGGAGAGACGGCAGGAATCATGTGAGGCAGGGAGTGAACGTAATTTTGTCATCAGCAGAATTGGAGACATCCTTGTGCAGCAGGTAGAGGCATCAGCTCCGTTAATCATTTATGTACTCAAGGTTCCCAAATTAAACAATTTATTGACTTTAAAACTCTTGCGGGCAAGAAGCAGGCTTTGGTTGCCTCATAAACTTCAAAGACTGTCCCCTCTAGATTATTGCAGAATGAAATAGCAATGAGAGAAAATCAGTAGTGACAGGTAACCGTGATGAACTTGGGATGAACTTCTACCTATATGGTACAAGCGATGAGGAAACTGATGAATTTGTCCTGTTCACAGTAGAAGGCTGCTGCCATCATACCATTGACTGCATAAATGGAAGCAAGGGATTCTCTTTTTTAATAGCTGAGCAGAGGTGTGAAGAATTGACTGATGATGGAAAAGAAACTACCTATTTATTTTAGCAGTCTGGCATGGTGCATTTTGAGTTGCTGCTCGCTAGAGAAGGGGTGGTCACAGTGTGTTTATGGTGGCCGTAGAACAGCTCACTAACCGCCTGCTGGTCAGTTCCTTGCAATCAGGAGAGTATGGCTTTTCACCTATGGTCAGTCAGTTTTCACTCCACTGAAATAAAGAAGCTGAACTATTGTCTTGTCTAGAAGTGGTGTAGAGATCAGAAAATACAAATAAGCCTCAAAAGGATTGTGTTTTCAAAGAGGTGAAGGAAATGCTGTTACAATAATTGTTCTTGCTGTTATTGGCAAGACTATAGTGGAGGTCATTTTTGCTCTCTCCAGCCTACGTTCTTATTCTTACTCCTAAAAACTGCTAGCCCATTTTCATTTTGTAGTGACAGGCCCTGAAAGTTGAAATTCAGAGAACTTAAGAAACAAGTAGCAAAAAAGTTCTGTATTTGTACTAAATACATTGATTAAAGGCATGTGCTTTCCTGTGAGCACAATTCACCTATTAATTTCTTCAGTTTTCAGAGGAGAATGCAACTAAAATGAAGAAAATATATGGAGAATTTTGCAGCCATCAGAAAGAAGCTGTTAATCTCTTCAAAGAGTTGCAACAAAACAAGAAGTTCCAGAATTTTATTAAAGTAAGTTTATGTTGAAATGTGATCACTATTGACAAAATGCTCAGGAAAAAGATATGTAGCTTTTACTTAGATTTAGGACTGAAATTATATTCAGTAACTCACTTTTAATAGCTAATAAAAATGGCAAACTTTTTTCTTCCTTAACCAGTGAGCTGATAAATTACATTTTTCTTTCAAATTTTAGAAAGCTTTGGCATCCTGTGTGTATTACACACATGTTCCTGTTATAGTACACCTCATCCCTCAGGGCAGCAGCTGTTCCCTGGGGATGGTTCAGATAACCCAGCATTTTGTTTTAGCTTATTCTAATGCATTTAGATCAAATTTCATATTAGTCAGTTGCTGGTTTAATATGCATTTACTACTTAAGGTATATATTTGTATCTGTGCAGCTGAGAAATAGTAACCTGTTGGCACGACGCCGAGGAATCCCCGAGTGCATTTTGCTCGTCACCCAGCGAATCACCAAATACCCTGTTCTGGTTGAAAGGATATTGCAGTACTCAAAAGGTGAATAAAAGCTGAAGTGTTGCTTCGTGTCTGGAATCCTAGTGTGTTTCTAAAGTAAGGAATATGCACTGCTACAGTATAACAGAAGATGAGATTCACTGCTCTGTAGAGAACCAGGGCAATGTAAATATCTACCGTTCAGGCAAACGTCACCTACACAGGGTGTCTGGTGTGTGTAGTCTTTGTCAAGGCTGGGCTGTGAAGATTTCCAATATTCCAGCTGAGAAAGG